CCGAACCCTGCCCGGAATCGTATATAGTAGGAACGCGGACCTTTGGAGGAGGGTCAGCGTTCAGTCTTCATATCAATAGAGGGCCTTACTATGTAACTATCCATAACGTGACTTCCCGCTGCCCTGTTCTACCAAGGCTCTCTTACATTCTGAACGCTCATCCATTCCTACGTTTAGGAAGAACAGCCCAGTAGGGAAGTCCAGAAAGAAGCTGAGAATGCCGCCCCATCAAACCCGTCAAGGCAGCGAGCATCGAGCATGAGCGCAGTGAGGCTGCTGCACCAGGCGAAGAAGCAACTCCCGCTTCAGGGGCCACAACCCCATTGTCACGGGTTTGCAGCTCCCCAGGGATTGAGGCCCAGATCGCTGCTGCCATAGCACTCGAAGCTGAGCTGCAGCAGGAGCTTGAGTTACGGGAGACGGGAGAGCGGATTCGGAAGCTGCAGAAATAACTAGAATGCATGGACGAAGCGGAGGCTTCACCCCAGACCCTCATGACCTCGGAACGCAGCTGGACGCCAGCGAGCTCGATATCCCATGATGGCCTTCCGCGAAGCCTTAGGGCAAAGGCAGTCTCGGAATACCGAGGGAAGACAGTGTGGAAACACTCAGAGTTTATTATGAACTGTGAGCTCGCCTTCTGCCTCGAACCAGGGGCGAATAAGTCGGACGAGCTACGCTGCAACTTTGCGATGACGTGGCTCACAGGAGAACCCCGCGACGCGTGGCTCCGACACGAACGGGAACCTGGGTTCCAGAAGACCTGGGAGGAGTTTAAGAACTTCCTCCTCGACCTTGTCCAGGACCCAGTGAACTGAACGATCTCAACGGCCGTCAAATACGAGGAGGCGCAGCAGCGAGGCGGCCAGACAGCGCAGGCGTTTGCCACCTACCTCGAAACCTTAGAGGCGGACATGCCAGCCTATAGTGAGGAGCACTGGGTGCAACACCTCCTCATGAAGTTATGGCCAGATGTGAGAGCGAAGGTCCTTACTTATCCCGAGATTCCGCGTACCCGGGTTGCACTCATCGCGCTCATAGCGCGGTTTGAGCAGGCGGACACATCTCGTGTTCGGGAAGGTAGCGCAAGGGAAGGCCGTCAGCAGAGCCGGCCTGATAGGCCTCGGAAGAGGCCCTCTAGCAGCTCAAATGAGAACTGGGGCACCACAAGGTCCTTCCAGAAGCGCCCCCGCCTACCCGACGCTGAGGAACAGCGGCAGAAGGAAAACAATCTTTGCTTTACCTGTGGAAAGGAAGGCCACCGGGCAGCGCAGTGCTTCGCCCAACAGACTGAGAATAGCTCGCGAGTGCGAGCAGTGGGGCCACGGGCGCCCTACCAGTCAAAAAACTAGACCCCTCCACTGAAGCCCCAATGGCTGGAGAAGGTGCGCAATGGGGAGCTTTGAGTCTGTCAACCTATGTCGACGTGAAGGGAGTGGAGGCGTGGCGGACCCTCCACGCCCTTGTGGACAGTGGGGCGACGGAAAATCTCATGTCCCACCTCATCGCAAAAGAGATGGGGGGAAACTGGAAACTGAACTTTACTATGGCAAGGGGGGTTGGAGAGCAAGAGATTCCCTTGTTTGGGAAGGCTCAGCTTACCCTCCGCGTCAAGGACGATAAGGGGGTAACAAGGGAGGGTCAACACCCCTTCGTTACTACTGTCCTAGAAGAATATGATCTAATGCTTGGGTATCCATGGCTACACCGTGAGAATCCAGTGATAGATTGGAAGGAGGCAACCTGGAGGTTCCCTATTGAGGATATCCAGTACTTCTCAAATGAGGAAGCAGAGGAGATTCGGGACCGTAGCGAACCAGTGTTCGTCGCGATGCTACACCGTATCAAAGAAAGCAAAGGAGAACCCGCACCCCAAACAATCCCAAGGGAGTATGACGCTTTTCAGGACGTCTTCGACGATGAGGGGGCAGCGTCACTACCAGAGTACTCAAAGCGTGTGGAGCACGCAATTGACATTGAGCCGGGTAAGCAACCCCCGTGGGGACCCATATACAGCCTCTCCGCGAAGGAGCTGTCAACCCTTCGCGTCTACCTTGAAGACTCCCTGCAAAGGGGCTGGATCCGGAACTCAACGAGCCCAGCAGGGGCACCAATCCTTTTTGTCCCCAAACCTGATGGTTCCAAGTGCTTGTGCGTGGATTATCGTGGCCTAAACGCAATGACGATTAAGAATCGACACCCTATACCCCTCATATCTGAGATCCTTGACCGATTAAGTGGTGCAGAAGTGTTCACGAAGCTTGACGCTAAGGATGCGTACCAGCGGATGAGAATTCGGAAAGGGGACGAGTGGAAAACAGCTTTCCGAACAAGATACGGTCTGTTCGAATACGTAGTGATACCGTTTGGGCTATGCAACGCCCCCGCATCATTCCAAGCCTACATTAACGAAGCGCTTGCAGGACTTGTGGATGTGATTTGCATAGTGTACCTTGATGATGTGTTGATCTACTCGAAGCACAAGGAGGAACACCCGCAACATGTCCGCACAGTCCTCGAGCGGCTTCGGAAGTTTAAGATCTACTGCAATCTAAAGAAGTGCAAGTTCTCAACGACAGAGGTCGAATTTCTTGGGTTCATCGTCTCCACAAAGGGGGTGTCTATGGACAACTCGCAAGTTGACACAATCACAGAATGGCCAGAGCCTACAAGTTTCCGAGACCTACAGGTATTCCTTGGGTTTGCGAACTTCTATCGGAGGTTCATCGAGGGGTATTCTAGTGTAGCGCAACCCCTCATGGGGCTCTTGAAAGGAAGTGACAAGGGGAAGAAGAGTGGTCCATTTTCATGGAACGGTGAGGCAGCAGAGGCTTTTCGAACGTTGAAGAAGGCCTTCACATCCGCTCCACTCCTCCACCACTTTGATCCAAGTCAGCCTATAAGACTAGAGACGGATGGTTCAGGAATGGCCATTGCGGCAATCTTAACCCAGCCAAACACAGACGAAGCGGGGGTGATGCGGTGGCACCCCATTGCCTTCTACTCGAGGAAGCTCAAGGACACGGAAATCAGGTACGATGTCCATGATATAGGCTCCTCGCCATCGTGGTGGCCTTTAAGCACTGGCGCCACTACATGCAGGATAGCAATTTCCCAGTGACGGTGAGGACTGATCACAATAATCTGGTTTACTTCATGAAGAAAGTATCCATTAATAACCGGCAGACTCATTGGATTGAATTCCTAGCAGGATTTGATTTCCAAATAGAACATCGACCTGGCTGCACAAACCCCGCAGACGATCTGAGCCGTAGGCCTGACTATGTCGACCGCCAACACCAGGCGTATAATGGGTTGCTCCCTACCTTGCAGCAGAAGCTGGCAAGGGGGTTGAGCGAGGCTACGAGAGATAGCGAGGGCGATGCGTCGCAAGAGAGTACTCGAATCCGCACTGTCTTTGCAAAAGCAGACGAGCGAACGGAAACAAAAGACATCCTCTACAAATAGAGAAGCTCATACGAACCCCACGAAAGGGTGGTGAGGAGCCTCTGCAGAGCCCACTGTCCCGATGCCGAGCCGTGCTCGGAACAGTCGAGGAGACACCATATGAGGAGCCCTTAGTAGATCTCTGCAAGCTCATTTCCCAACTACAGAATGGTGATCCATATCTAGGGGACCGGGTGAAGCGAATGAAGAAGCAACATCCACGCCATGAAGGCATTGAGAGAGAGTGGGCGCTACGGGTAGAAAGCGGAATACTATACCAGAATGGTATCATACCAATCCCACGAGACCCAGCCCTTATAGAAGAGCTTCTCCGAATACACCATGATGACCTGCTTGTGGGCCACTTCGGAGTTGCGAAGATGCTTCAGCTGCTTAAATGCAAATACAAGTGGCCGCGGATGGGCAAGGATGTAAAGGAGTATGTCAAGACTTGCCAAATCTGCCAATGGATGGTAGTGAAGAGGCACCGCCCCTATGGCGAATTACAATCGCTTCCACAACCAGAAGGCCCTGGAAAGGAGATCACAATGGATTTCATAACGGGCCTACCACCAAGCCTACACCCAATAACGGAGAAGGCCTACGACTCTATCCTTGTAGTGAAATACACCATATATATTGCAACAAATAAGATGATAAATGCACATGATTTGGCTCTGCTCATCGTCCGCTACGTCCTACCAGAGTTTGGAATCCCGAATGGTATTGTGTCAGACCGAGGCTCAGTATTCATGAGTAATTATTGGGCTGCGCTCTGTTTCTACCTTAAGATACGGCAGCGTCTAAGCACCGCTTTCCACCCGCAGATAGATGGCCAAACTGAGAGGCAGAATCAAACAATTGAGCAGTATCTCCGGTCGTTCGTAACAAGCCTACAGGACGATTGGGTAGCACTACTACCGCTTGCGCAAGCCACATACAATAACTCTCACCACTCCACCATTCAAACTACCCCCTTTTACGTGCTAAAGGCTTTCCACCCACAAATGGGAGACGCAAGTGTCGCGGACGCCCCTCGGAAGGGAGACGTACCCGAGGCGAAAGAGCGGGTAATCCAAATGCAAGAGGAAAGGGAAGCGTTAGCACGGCACTGGGTAAAAGCGACCCAGGTGCAAACGAAATACTACAACCTCAAACGTAAGCCAATGGAATATAGCATGGGGGACAGGGTGCTACTATCAACGAAGAACTTAAAGCTTCGACGACCAAATAGGAAGCTCTCAGAACGGCTTATAGGGCCCTTTAAGATCGTAGAAATCATAGGGGAACAGGCATACCGGCTTGAGCTGCCTCAGGAAATGGGCGTGCATCCAACCTTCCATGTGTCCCTCCTTGAGCCTTATCATGAGAGGCGAGAGACGAGTGTAGGGGTCACGGAGGTGCCACGAGTGGGAGGGAAAAATGTCAATTCATCTGCTGCAAATGGCAGGAAGCTGCCAGGTCAGCCCATTCCTCAGGTCACTGGAACTATCTGAAAGTACAAAAGTGCAAGGGGCCACAGCCGGCCAGCGCACACGAGGCGGGGCCTCAACCTACGCGTCCTGGTCCATTTCCTCAGGAACCTCCTCCTCAGCATCAGAGGCCACAACGGTCGCCAGCTCCCAGTCCTCAGCGTCCTCATCATCCACCAGCGGGTCCTCCTCACCCTCGCTACCAGACGACTCGTACTCCTCAGTCGCAGCGACGGTAGGGTTGTGGACGTGCTATCAAGGGTCAGCATGGAAAGCGGGGGGCAGATGGAGGGGCAACGGACCAGCGCCATCTGGATGTCACTCGCGTGCCTCATGGTACGGCGTAGGCCGCGAATGTCAGAGGCGATCTCCAGCATCGCCAGGCCAGTGTTCACCTTCTGATGCTTGGAATCCTCCCCAACGAGCAGGCGGCGACGCATCACGTTCTTTCCAGCCTCAACAAACTTTGTGTAGCGGAGCTGAAGCGCCTCCAAAACATTGGCGCGGCGGTGCGCGGTCATTTGGCTGAAGTTTGGGCGAGGGATGCTGGGATCGACGGCGCCCTGGTACTTCTCAAATGCTGCCATCAAGCGATTGAACTTGCGGAAAGCTCAGGGGGGAATCTAGAATGCAGGGTCAGTGGAGTAGGAGGTGAAGCGGAGGGTAAACACGCACGGGGAGACAGTTCGCCCGATGTTCCTGGCAGTATGTGCAGCGGGTCATAGCATTGACGCGGGAGCAGCACATATCCTCACGATCCTTGTACACTCTCTTAGAGCAACGGAGACACATGGCGACCTTCGGCTTGGCGCGGCGGGGCTTCAAGGGCGAAGACATCACCTCTGACATCGTGTCAACGGGTGGGAGGCGCGCATGACGCAAAGGGTTCTCCGGGGGTTGGACCACAGTGGCAAGGCGACTACCACGAGCGAGGCCAGACGGAGTGGCAGCAGTGGCATTGCTTGGGCCAGGCACCGGGGCAGCCTCAGCGCCACGGGGAGAGCTTTGAGAAGCTCCGGCGTCAGGTTTCTTTCCCTTGCCTTTAGCGGGGCGTTTGGGGCCCATCCTGAAGAGATCTATCGGTTGAGTCAGTAAAGAGAAATTGAAGGTGGTGAAGTTGGAGGAAAAAGGGTGAAGGAGGAAGCGGTCAAAACGACACAACAACACAACAACGCGCAAGCGACCCGGGACCGCTTACTCAGGGGCAGGGCTGCCGCTAAGCGGCCACGGCAACAAGCCAAAATAAACAACACGGGCCGAATTCACTTCTCGGGCTCAAAGGGGCTCGAGCCGCATAGAGGGGGATAATTGTCATGAGCATCATCACGTGCGGACTCCAATCACGTGCGCTGCGGTGCTAAGGATGAGGGTCTTGTTGAGTAATATGCGTGTGTATTCCTGTCTATCTATTGCTGCCTGAAATTGCAGGGAAGTGGTGCTGAGATCATGTGACATATTACAACACACCCCCCCATGTATCCCAGTACCGCATACTAAGTAGGAAGGCTCGCAGGCAAATCCGTATGGGTCTGAATTTGGAGTTCTGGGCCAACAACCTTTTTCTACCCCCACCCTCGCCACTACCAAGCACCAACTTTCCACTCTCGCACAGCTCCGTACGCGACTCACAATGACTGTTATTGGTGAAATCAAGCCTCAAGACATGGCTCTGGTTGAGATCAGGGCTGACCTCCATGATGACTTGCCGGAGTATGAGAGGGTCAAAATACCATCCCTACCCCCAATTGTGGTTGGCGTGGAATTGGCCCGTCCGTACGGTGTTGCTGGTGTGGTGGAGTCTGACCACCCACAACAGACAACGGCTTGGTACATCCAGGCTGTAGGAGACATGGATGCTGGCTGTGACCAGTGTGTACACGATCGGGGCAGTGCTCGGGCTCGTCCCTTCTTCTCTGCCTGCCATCACTATGGCAAGCTGCAGGAAGGAGCCTGTGGTAACTGTGCAATGAAGCACAAGTCAGCTGCTTGTTCCTTGAGTAAGTTTGTACCTTTCTGTTGATTCCTATGCTGCGTACGACACTAACACATAGTAGGCCACAAGAAAACTTGGAGACCTGCCATGCCACCACCTCCGCCATCTCCCAAAGCTGGGAAAAGATCTGGCACCCGTGCCTTCGCCCGACAGAAAGCTATTGATGAAGAAGCTGCTGCTCAGCTTCGTGGGTAATCTCCGTACGCCTCACTCCTAGTGCTCTCAGTGTTCTGGTGCTCTCGGTGTTCTGGTGCTCTCGGGTTCTGGTGCTCTCGGTTGTGAATGAGGCCTAAATGACAGTGGATTTCTCTGCAATTTTAATGTGACAGGTCCGTACGTAGTTGTGAGTGTGGGAAAATGGGTGATTCTTCTGTTCTTGTATAGTAAAAGTCAGGGATTTCTCCTGCTCTTGTCTGCCTTCCCCCCTTTGTTGAAATGGGTTTGGAATTTCGAAAAAAAATGAATGTGAAATCTCCATGCATATATTGCATCTATGTCGTACGGAGTTGTGTAGTCTTCCAAATGAGTGTATGTTTATTATTTCCCAAGGTATTCCATTGGGAAAGTTGAAATAAGAACGCATAGTAAAACTAGGTGTAACTGTAGGCGGCTTTGGTGCTTTTGAGAGTTCTACCTCCGTACGGAACTCATCCATTAGCTATTCTTGTCTTGCCTCACTTTTCAGTTAGTGAAGTAGAAGACTAGACTCTTTGGTCTAGGGGGCTGCTTTCCATAGTACAAAGGTAGCCAGTGCTTCGTACGGGGTTGTGTTGTATGTATGCACTCCTATAGGAGATGCTTTATGTCTACAAGGTTCAAATGTTTAATGAACTCCTTGTGCTTCTGATGGGGTAGGGCTTTGGTGAATCCATCTGCTGGCATTTCGTACGTAGCTATCCATTTGATATTGAGGTTCCGATGCTCAACCTCCTGTCTTAACCAATGTGAGTGGACGTCAATATGCTTCAGCTTTGTAACTAGCTTTGGAGACTCCTTAAGTAAGATCCGTACGGTCTGCAAATTATCACAATTAAGTGAGTATTGCTCGTTTAGATCGAGTTTGATTGTGTTGAAGAAACGCTGCCACCAATAGAGCTGTTTCGCACTGTGGGACAAAGCTAGAAGCTCTGCCTCTGTTGTAGAGGTTGACACAGTCTTCTGCTTTGAGCAGCGCCAGTCTATTGCCCCTCCAAATAAGGTAAACAAATAACCCTCTGTGCTCTTTCTTGTTGATTCGCAGTCTGCGTACGAAGCGTCACTAGAGCATTGAAAGCGAGCCTCTTGAATATTAGGTCCAAACTGAAGAGCTAGGGTCTTAGTATCCTTAAGGTAGAGTAGAAGTCTGTCGACTGCAGCCATGTGGTCTGGGCCTGGATTGATGAGAAATTCAGATAGTTTCTGTGTCGTACGGGCTATATCAGGTCTCGTTACAACTGCTGCGTAGTTTGCTGATCCTACTTTCTGTTGGTAAAGATGGATTTGTTGCTTATCTGCCTGGCCGTCAAATTGGGTTAGGTTGTCTGTAACCATTGGCGTTTGGGTGGATCGAATAGAGGCTACTCCGTACGTAGTTGTGATCTTGTCGATATAGGAGTCCTGGCACAGCCATAGGGTTTTCTGGGTGCGGTCCCTCACAATTCTTATGCCTAAGAACCATTGAAGTTCTCCTATTTCTCGAAACTCATACGCTTCCATCAGTCTCGTACGGAACTGTGTTGCCTCCATTTTGTGGCTAGGATGGCTAAGGATGCAAATATCGTCAACATAGAAGAAGACAATAATCTTTGAAGATACAAAGAGGCACTGTGCTTCTGGGACCTGTACGAGGCCTAGAGCCTTGAGTGTCTCTGAGAAGTCTTGAAACCAGAGTAAGGGGGACCTTCGAAGTCCATAGAGTGCCCTGTTAAGTTTCCAGCATTTTCCTTGCTCCTGGTAGCCGTCTGCACACCGTACGTAGACCTCCTCATCAATACGGCTGTTTGTGAATGCGTTTATAGCATCTAATTGTTGTGTATCCAAATCAAAGTAGGCTGTGATTGCCATAAAGGCTCGGAAGGTTTTCGAAGCAAGCGTAGCTGCGTACGTCTCATCATGGATAGAATAGCATTGTAGGTCGCCTCTTACAACAAGTCTAGCCTTATATTTAAGAAGGTAGCCATTGTCATTGAATTTGTATGTGAAAACCCACATAAAGGGTATCACAAGGTTCTGTACGGAGCTGTCGTTGACAGATGTGAACGTTCCTTGCTTTCGAAGGTCTCCTATTTCCTTTGCAGCTGCAGCTTGGAATCCTATTCAATGTGGATGAGTTTGGAGTTGATTCCAGAACTTTGGAGCAGCTGGTAGGTCCGTACGGTGTATGCTCTGTCGATTGAACTCCGTTCCTACTAGGAAAGCTTGGTGTAAGCTTAGCTTTGCTTCTGGTATCGCTATTGTAGCTAGGTAGACGTCGTGTCTTCGTACGGTGTCCTCAGGGCGTTCCGGTGTCATTTCAGGCGTTTGAAGTTGTTCCTGTAGCTCTGTAGCTCCGTGGTCCTTCTGAGTAGGCGGCTCTTCTTGAGGAGAGGAGGTGTTTGTTGCCTCTGATTCGTACGGAATTGTTGTCCCGTTCTGAGGCTGTTGTTCCCCCTCAAACTCCTCATCTTCTTGATCTTGAATATCTGGTATTTCAATGACCTGAACTGTCTTTTCGAGCTCTGTTTGGACAAGCTGAGCCTCGTACGAAGGGTCATAAGCCTTTGTCTCATCAAAGGTAACGTCTCTTGTAACTATAACCCTTTTAAGTTGCGGAACCCAAATGCGGAATATGTTTGTAGAGTTATAGCCAACTAGGTAGCCTATTTGGGCGTTCCTCTGTATCCTCTCAAGCTTTGGCTTGTTTAGAATAAGGGCATAGGCTCTACAGCCATAAGCGCGAATATGAGAGAGTAATGGCTTAAGTAACTCTGGCTTTTGGCTCTCTGTAGGTAAGGACTGGAGTAGAAGTCCGTACGGGGTCTCATCGTTTATGACTGACGATGGTGAGCGGTTTATGAGGTACCCTGCTGTTTTGAAAATCTCAGGCCACATTACTTCTGGTAAGTTGGCTGATTCTTTAAGTGCGCGTGATCGTGTGATTATCTTATGGCCTGACCTCTCTATTCCTCCGTTCGGATTTGCTGTATAGGGTGGAGAGATGTGGATTTCATATCCTTCGTCCTTAATCCAACCCTCCCATTCATTTCCAAGTGAGGCTTCACCATCTAGGTGGAATATGCGGATTTGGAACCCCCATCTTCTCCGTACGTAGCTCACAAAGTCCTTAATCGTCTGTAGGAGCGTTCCTTGTGTTTTATCCTTAATAGTATAGACGTGGTTCATGCAGCAATTATCACATAGGAAGTGTAAGGCTTGTGTGCTGCCATCGTACGCCTCTGGCATTTGGATTAGGTCAAGGTGGACCTTCTCATATGGCACTTTTGAGCGTGGTGTAGATCTTCTAGAAATCTGCCTTGTAGCATGCGTAAGTCGGCATACTTCGCACTGAGTATCGTACGAGTCTAGGTCTGTGACGATAACTCCAGCGGTCTTCTCTTGGAGTTTTCTAATGGCGTTTTGGTTTAGGTGTCCCATGCGGTTATGCCATTCCTTTGCAGTGCCTTTTAGGTCCTTACGAGGTCCGTACGAAGATAGGACAACGTTGTCCTGTTGATCCTGAGTGCTATAAACAGCTCGGGTAGGCTCATTTTTGATGTATTCAAGAACCCATTGTCCATGAAGCATTGGAGTGTTGCAGAACGGTTGATCTCCGTACGTAAGTCCTTGTGCAATTCCAATGAACTCCCTTTTGGATGAATCATCTAAGAGAAGCGACTGAAGTGTGGAAGGATGAAACGAGAGCTGTATCTGTAAGGGTGATAGTCCGTAGAGACTTCTTATCCTCCCCGTTTTGGACTGTAATATCTACAGACCCAAATGCTTCAATCTTCACCCTTTGGTCTCCAGCTAAGAGGTAGCTATTATCTTGACATTCTTGGATATTGTAGAACCTCGTACGGTCGTTGCAGACGTGAATTGTAGCTCCAGAGTCGAG